GGAAAAATATTAAGAAAAGGGAAAATATCTTAATACATTCCTATACAACTGAAAAGAGGAGGAGAGGGAAGGGAGAAGGGCTAAAGGAAACCGGTCTCTCCCCAGATGGCGTATTCGAGTGTTGCGATCGCGATAAAATTCCACTACCGATTAAACTCGGAAGATTGCGCAATATTTGAGGCCCTCACATCTCAGGATTACAAACACACGTCGTCTACTGTCATTATTTTTAGTTATTTAATTCATCGGAAAAGTTAGTAAAAAAAATGAGATGAAATTTATAGTAGGAAAGAAGATCTTAAAGCTTCAATGTTTAGATATTTGTATTTTATCTTGATTTAATATAACCCTTGTATAATTTATAATATTGGTTTAAAAAATTACAATTGTAATATGCTCAATGTAGATGTGTTTTAATTTTTAATCATTTTAAAACCAAAACAAAAAATGAACTTTTTAAAACCAAACTAATATCAGTATGATTATGTTACATGTAATTCAATACCAATGTGTAATTTTTTGTTGTTTTAAAGAAGTAACTTTCCTATTTTTTTAGAAATTTATTTTTTATGTGTTTATTTATATAGATATGAATTTAACATTTATTGTTTATTTGGTTACTGTCATAAGCAGAGATGATTGTGGATGATTTCTGGATTTTTTGTTAATTGCGATCCAGAAGTTTCAAGAAATCATCGATTACATTAATGTTTAAAAATTCAATTATATTTTATTTAAAAATAATCGAACTGGAATTTATACGTTGCATAATTTTCATTTGTAAATATTTTTTCCTGTAAAATAATAAATTTGATTAGAGATAAACGTAAACTTATGCATAATTATTCATTTAAATTATGCTGCTTATAATTTAATGTTTTGAAAATATCAATGACTTAAAAGACATTGGTTTTATGAAGTGGTCATAAATGATTTTACTGGAGAAATTTTCAGGATTTTCGAGCTCAGAATCATCCCTGGATAAATAAAGTTACTTGTATCCCTAAAAATTTCATCTTCAATTTTTAGATCATGTATTTGCCTTTTCTCTTCTGACGTTTTTTAAAGACAGCTGTCATAATAAAAACACTTATAAAAAGAAAAGTTAACAAAATATAAAATAAAAAAAATCTTAGTTCTTAAAATATAACTTAAACATTGAAAATAACAGTTTATATTACCCAGGGCTGGATTAACCTATAGGCACACTAGGCACGTGCCTAGGGCCTACGAAATTCAGGGGCCTACGAAAAACTTGGGAGAAAAAAATTTTTTGACAAAAATAATTTAGCTTTAAAAACAACAAGTGTATTTTGCGCAAAATTATGAAGATACAAATGAAAATATAATATTTTACGGTAATAAATTATTTTGCAGCATCTTATGATCTAATATATTACAGGGTCCCCACGGTCCTCAAAAACTGCTTAATTTTTATTTTGGAAAATAAGGGCCCTTAATAGTACTTAAATATGGCATAAGGTTTTTAAAAGTCCTTAATTTTTCAGCATTACTATACCCTGTAACAAGATTGCAGTGACAAGGCGACATTGGTCCAAAACTTTACAAACTCAATTTACGCCAAGAGTATCATAAAACTGTGTGGTGTTTGATTGTATTTTTGGCAGTTATTGATATTGCTTTTATTCCGGTTTTAAAATGTTTCGATACATTTTAGACGCAATGTATATTTTAGACCAACCAGTGTATATTTTATTCCGATATATTTTGGACATATTTCGACATAATGATTTAATTATTTTTCTATCAATTTTATGGCAGTGATTGCTATCGATTTCCACAAAGTTTAAAATCCAATGTTTTAAATGTGATCTTATTTATTATAACAACCGAAACACTTATTTGAACTTCTCTTTTTTAAAGAGTCCTATTTGCGTGATTTAGTCGTCGATCTATATTTCGGGTTTTACTGCCACAGGTTTTAAGATTTTTGATTTATGTACGAATTTTAATTAATAATCGTTTCATTCATTTACGAATTTTAATTATGTAATGTATTTACAAAATGCGAGAATATCGCCTATAATATTAGAATTAAAAAAATACTACATTTATAATTAAAAAAACTTTTAAACATTTGTGCTCTATACTTTCTTCTGTTACTTTAAATAAGTAATTGTTATAATTAAAAGTATCTTGTAGAAAAATACTAGTAGTGGGGAAGTTCCTCACAGAAAGCTAGTTGATCGAAAAAAATTTTCAAGTCGATTTTTTATAACAAAAAGTTGTTCTATTATTAACTAGGATTCGTCCGTGCATCAAGAGTTGGGCATTTTAGAGAGACAATAAAGGATATGTGTTGGGAGCTACAGGCAAAGGCCATAGAAATGTGTTGATACCTATAAAAAATTGTTTTAGACCCTTTTATTTATGTTTCACAGAGAACTAATTAGCATATTGGTTTGAAAATTATAAATCTTGTCAAATAATCAAAATCAGCAAATAATTGTAAATCTTCTTATTCTATAAAAGTTTCCATACAAATATTTAGTGCAATGACCTAAAAAATTTTCTTTTAAGCTTCATGAAAAAAAAGTGGAATGAATTAATTTGCTTAGATACAAGGAGTGATCAAATGAAAAGGTACAAAACGACGTAAAAACGTAACAGTTAAATATTTGCATATTCCGCGATGGGAGAACATAGCGAGACATCTCGGGGATGCGATTGGAGTCTGACTGGGATCGGAGCATGTGCGGGAGATCGCATGCGCAGGAGAGAGCACAGGCTCTTATCAAATGCGGCGTTCAAATGATGCGACAGTCCGTATGAGGAACAGAAACTCGAGCACAGAAATAAACATTAACTCCTTTGTGTACTGTGAGACACTCTGACGCCTACGCAGGTTCATCAAGAACAAAAGACTGGGGCTGCTCCATGATAACGCACGTCCACACGTCTCCAGAGTCACACACATGGAACTGGCCAAGTTCAAGTGGGAGACGTTGGACCATCCGCCCTACAGTCCGTGCACGTCGCCCTGCGATTTCCATGTGTTTGGTTCACTGGAGAAACATATGAAAGGAAAGCGCTTCAACTCGTACGACGTACTCAAGGACGCTGTGAGGACTGGGTCTCGTCACGGTCACAGGAATTATGGGAACAAGGAATCCCTCGGTTTGTTCATCAGTGGGATCGTTGTGCCCAGGCCTATGGTGTGTATTTTGAATAAAATCTACATTTGTACCCACCGTGTTGTTTCGTACCTTTTTATTTGATCACCCCTTGTATTAGTATGGTCTGTTTTTACTTAAAATAGGACCTAATTTAAGTTAAGTTAACATAGTTAGAAAACTACTCTCATGCATAACTCTAATTCTTAGTATTAATTCATTTAATATATATACCATTTAATATATTCATTTAATATAAATAAAACATTTTATTAATAGCATTTATCAAAAACATTTTATTAAAAACTAGTAATAATTTTTTCCCAAATTTCTTTATTTACTCTATTTCTTAAATATACGAAAAAAATTGTAAATCCTAATTTTACAATTCAATTTCAATTAAATCATTAAAAATGGAATATATATATTCGTTTTATGGATGGCGTTAACCCTTAACAATCTGAAAAATATTTTTAAAAAAAACTCTATCCTGGTTTGCCAAAAATTGTCGGCAAAATAATCGGTATCATAAACGGCTGTGCCTAATTCCTACGAAAGGTATAATCCGGCTCTGATATTACCAGTTAATCTGTTTATCCATACAGGAAATAAGTTGCAGTAAAAGAATTAAATCTATTGGAAACATTCCAATAAAATGTTGCACTTTAAAATAAAAACAGGCGAACAAAAGAAGCAGAGCAAAAATATTCCTAATATTTAAAACAAAAAGTATTAACTAGAAATAATCAAATTGACTTGCCCAAATTTTTTTTAAAAAATGAGCTGTACAAAACTGACGGTTCATTATCAAGTGATCTACAATTTTCAATTCTTATAATTTCACTTTTCCTTTTGTCTTTCAGAACCTAAGTTTGCAAGTTTACGAACTTAACAAATATATGCAAAAATTATTTTTAATAATGTGTTGAAAAAAATATGATCTTAGATTATTTTTTATTAAATGAATTGAAATTCAGAAGAAAAAAAAGCCACAATTGTCAAAAGGACTGAATAGTGGCTGAATATTCGTTACATCCCTAGATAAAACATTTTGCAACAATTCAGTTTTAATACTCTTTATTTTTGTGCTATTATATATTGTAAAATGAGTAGCTTAAGAATAAGTGTAGAAAAATTTAAAATTGATTCTTATAACGATATTTATTAAATATTTGCAATGAAATGTTTCTGATCAGCATTTATAAATGCAAACGGGGTCTCTACGCTACCTGAAAAAGTCAAGAATTTCTGAAATTGCTCAAAAAGTCAGGGAATTTAACAGTTTTGTATCAAAATCTTAAAAAGTGAGTGAGTTTGATTTGGTGATCGCCAAGCATGTGATCTTCGCTTCATGTAGCTGTAGCATGCCTTGGTATTAAAACTTAGAAAACTTTCATCTGGAAAGGAGTTTTTGGTTGCTAGAATCCAGAACAGATAGAAGGAAGTACAGTACAGAACCCGTTATCCGGAAAACCGAAAAACAGGAACGAAATTCGATAAATTTTCTACCTTTTTTTTTTTCCCTTATAAGATTTTAGGATTTTTTATTCTTTTTTGAAAGATGTTTACCTTACCATCATTTTGGAAATAATCAGTAGTCTATTACTTCATTGTTTTTTCTTCTGTTTAAGATTATTTTGAAATATTTATTTTTTTTTTTAGTTGGGTTTAACAATAGAAAAAACTGCTTTTTGTAGCAATTCAGAAAACCGGAAAACTCATTTATCCGGAATAACGATGGTCTCGATCGTTTCGGATAATCGGTTCCCTTCTGTACTTCAGATTTTCTGTTTTTATTTTTGATTAAGAAGTTTTATCAGGATAAATAATAATTTAAATCTCTTATAAATTAATGTTTTTTATTGCTGTTTATTTGCTTAATCTTCTATCACCTAGGCTTGATAAATAAGTTTAACTTGTCAGGAATTTAATGTTTAATTACACTTAATGAAACTTGTCACTTGTTAAGGATACTAAGGAACAATTAAGATTGCTGTTCCACATGGAAATTATAAAGGGATACTATAATATCCTATGGTCAATCAAGGTTTTATTTTTCAGGCCTATTTTTGCAAAAAAATTTTAATTATTTTTCTGCAAATTTCTTTATTAAGGAATAGCATTCAATTTTTGCATTCACTATTTCCTTATTCTTCGTACATTTATATAAATCCACTTATTTTTCAAATTCATTCCTATGTATTTCATATGTTATGATCTGAAAATTTCAAACTTGAGATAAATTATGATTGGAATCGTACATGAACATTGTTTTCAAAATGTTCAATTCATGTACGATTCCAATCATAATTTTAATTTTTTTATGACAGTTTATCCTCAATTATTTATCATTTTTCGTCTCCTTTAGGTTTTTTTTATTACAATATTTTTAATAATTTATTGTAATGTTTGATTTTGAATTATGACATTTTGACGCATTTGATTTGTAGCAAATCCAGCGTAATTTCAATTACTTTGATGATAGTTTTTTTTGGTATTTTTCATATTGTTTTTTAAATCTATGTTATTTTTTCGCCTTTTCTGTGTATTTCTTTTCTTATTTTTCTTTTTAAATTCCTTTATTATTTTAATATTTAGTTACGATAATACTCTAATTTGACTAATTTCCATTTATGATTTTGATTGTAACAAGCATGATGTGTTTTTATTAAAACTTTTTAAAAAAATTTCCAACTTTTTTTTTTTTTTTTTTTTTGTATNTTTTCTTTTTTTTTTTTTTTTTTTTTTTAGTTTTTTTACTAAGTACATTTTTTAACTTTTTTCAAGTGTTAATTTTTTATTTAGATTCTATATTTTTCTTTATTTTATATTATGCATTTTTAGAACATTTTGCTCATATCGATTTATTTTTATGTCTTTCCAAGAAAGCTATAATCTCTAAACATTTAATAAGATAAAAATTATCGTTAGTATTTTATATATGAGAAAATTTGATATTTTTTCATTTGGTTTTGTTCAAATTAAAACTATGTATATAAGTAATAAAAATTAAATTTTTAAAAAAATAATTAAAAAAATGAACTTGATTTTTTTTCTTTTCCCTTCTTAAAAATGATCTGGTATAAACCACATTGTTTTAATCCTGGATTGAAGTATGAGACAGAGAACAGAAAAAAATATATATGTTTTTCTATAGCAATATGATTGCTCTCCACTAAGCTCATTTTTCGTTACGTTGATACATTTAAATGGCAGAAATGCATCATACAATATGAAATTCTTTGATTATAATTGTTTTTGTGCAAGGGATTCGTTTTTGTACTATGTTTCTTAATTCTTTAAATTTGTTATGTTGGATTTAATATACTCAATACTTAACTATGTGTTATTTAATTATCATTCCTTTAAATTATAGATTAAATTTAAATATAATTAAATTTAGCCAGTCATATTAAGAAATTTATTTGGTGTATAAATATTAATTAGTTGTTTCATTGTTGTTAGTTTTGTTTTAATATTATAAATTGTGCTTTTTAAATTTTCAGAAAGGAATTGTATTGAAATATAAAAGCTATGGAAGCCCCTGCAGCTAAAGGACCGATTCGTCGAATCACAAAAAATGATCTTTTAATTTTAGCATGCAACAAACGTAATGATCTACTGTTACATGAGTTGAACAAGACAAATTTTGGGTTTCAAAGATTTCTTCAAAATCAAGAATATCTGAAACAAGATGGTAAAATCGATTGTGATATTATGGCAACTCTCGTTCAAATAATCTATAATGTTTGCACTGTGAGTTTAAATAGACTGGAAGGTAGTCTTGTGAAATTTCTTGAAATGTTGAAGGATTGCAAGAAGTTTATTTTTGTTGATGTCCATGTCACAATAAATACACTTTTAATAGAAAGGCATTCAACCAATTTAGTTACACTTACCACAAACTATTTGATTATTTTGCAAAAATTACTAAGGCATTGTGAGTGTAGAGAAATTATAGATGATGTTTTTCCGGCTCTACAGAACTACTTTAACACAATGCGGCTTCGAAAGTTGCAAAACTTGGCAGACATCAAAGCTCAGTTTGATATATTAAAACACAAAATCGAAAAATTTGATGACCCTAAGCTTGCATTGGAGGATTTAGATGAATTGGGTACATTTCGAGAGCTCTCAATTGTACCCAGAGAAAATGATATAATAAATTGTGAAACTCCAGATTTACCACAAAACATTATTGATGGCCCTTACTCAAGTGTTAACCACTATTTAGCAGTTCACTTTCGTCTTACAAGAGAGGATATGCTTCGATCATTTCGTGAATGCGTTGCGCATTGTTTGAATTCGGATGAAACAGCACTCATTAGATCAGAGACCGAAAAATATGATAAAGTTCTTGTGGTACGTCCAGCAAAATATAAACCTGAAGGTATATGCTGTACAATCGAAGTTTATTCGTCTAAAGCGGTCAATTGGAAAGACTCTCTTCTCTCACTACCTGGAAGTATGGTCTGTCTAACTCCAGACAAGTTTAATAAAGTGATATTTGCATCTGTCCTCCAAGAGTCGAAAGCTCCCCGCGTAAAAAGTGAAAAATGTACTGTAAAACTCATCTTAGAAGATGACCGTTATGAAGATTCATTGTATGCAGATGTTCAATATCTAATGGTGGTTCCAAATGCGTATTTTGAATGCTATAAGCATGTATTGTCCGCAATAAAAAGCTTTAGTCCGAGCAGTTTTCCTTTGTCTGATTATCTTGTCTCTCTAGAAAGTAGTGAAGCTTCACCCGAATACTTGAGAGATCCTGATAGCTTATTAGGGCGAAAGTATTCCCTTTGTGAAAATTGTGAGTATTCTTCTGAAGGCTGTGAAATTCCCGACAAGAATGAAGATTTGTGCAAAAAATTTGATCCGTTGCATTATGATGAATGGCCATCAGCAGAAAGTTTAAAATTAGATGAACACCAGTATGAAGCTTATAAATTAGCCTTGACTAATAAAGTAGCAATAATACAAGGCCCACCGGGCACAGGAAAAACATTCATGGGAAAGAAGATGGTAAAAGCTCTTTTAAAAAACACTAATCTTACTCCTATTATCATTTGCTGTATGACAAACCATGCTCTTGATCAGTTTCTTGAAGGTCTTTTAGAAGAAAATGTTGAAAATATTGTTAGACTAGGTAGTCAAAGCAAAAGTACAATTATGAAACCATACACTATGGATAACATAGTTTTGACTCATAAGCTTTATATGGAACAAGACAATTCTAATCGTATAACAGATCAGATAGCAAAATCCATTATAGAGAGGATGCAGAAATTTGTGCCTCATATTTTAAATCGCGATGTTAGACATGGCGGTGAATATGATCCAGCACTTTTTGCCTTAAAAGACATATGTCGGGATTTGAATAATGATATAGAGTTGCTTGATTTCTGTAAAAACAAATATTTAGAAAGTTCTGCACTACAGGCTATCATTGATAGTAACAAAAAAGAAGAATTATTGTCAAAGTCTTCTTCACGTTGCAGTGAATTGACAGAAAATATTATGGAGTGGTTAGGATGTTCACGTAAATCAAAACTTTATGAAGAATGTGAAAAACGTTTCAATAAAATGAATGAGAAAAGCTTGAATATTAAACTAATGCATGAAAATATCTGGTCCTTGCACCTAACCAACAGATTTGAACTTTTTTATTTGTGGCGAAAAAATTGTATGGAAATTTTAAAAAAAAACATTGTTGTGGAAAAAGAAGAGTATAGAAAATTAAAACAGTCATATTCTGGTAAAGGTTTTGACAGCTCTCTCAAAATTGAAGTATTGAAAACTGCTCATATTGTTGGTGTAACAACTACTGGTGCTGCAAAATTTCGTGAATTGCTGTACTATGCCCAACCCTCTATTTTAGTTGTAGAGGAAGCAGCTGAAGTGCTTGAATCTCATACAATAGCCGCTCTATTACCGAGCATTAAACACTTTATCCTAATTGGTGACCATAAACAATTAAGGCCACTGCCATCAGATCATGAACTAAGCGAAGTGTATAATTTAAAAATATCCATGTTCGAAAGACTTTTTACGAACAATGTTCCTAATACAACTCTAGTGTCGCAGCATCGTATGAAACCATGTATTGCTGATCTGTTAGTTAATGATCATTTATACGAAATGTTGAAAAGTGATGAAAGTGTTTATAAATATAAAGAAATTAATGGTGTGAAATCTAGTGTCTTCTTTTTTGATCATGCTAAGAGAGAATCGGAAAGATCCTCTAGCACAAGTTTTTCTAATAAATTTGAAGCTGAAATTGCTGTAGCATTGGCAAAGTATTTCCATGTCCAGTCGTATTCTCTAGATCGAATAACCATTCTTGCCACTTATGCTGCTCAAGTAAACCTTATTCGAGATTCCCTTTTTAAAGCCAACTTAGAAGTTAAAATAACTACTGTTGACAATTATCAAGGTGAGGAAAATGATATTGTGATAGTGTCATTTGTTAGAAATAACAGAAATGGTGTTATTGGGTTTCTGAAAGAAAACAATAGAGTATGTGTTGCTCTATCTAGAGCAAGGAAGGGCATGTTCTGTCTTGGCAACTTTAAAATGTATGCTGAGAAAAGCCCTCTTTGGAGCACAATTTTACCCAAATTAGAAGAGCAAGGAATGATTGGGGATAAAATTCCTCTACAATGTAATCGGCATGGAACTGAAACCTCTGTTGAAACTGAAGTTGAGATTTCTGAATTTATGCATCGAGGCTGCCAGCAACAATGCAACTTCAAACTCCCTTGTGGACATAATTGCATAAACGGATGTCATAATTTTGATGCTGATCACAAGCTTTATAAATGTCGTTTGCCTTGTGAAAAATTCATTGATGTAGATCGAAAATGCCCCCAATTATGCTTCCAGCCTTGTAAGAGTGTAAAAAAGAATGCAATAACTCTTCCTTGTGGGCACAAATCCAGAACAGTTAATATTATAGGTTTTACTTGCCTTGAAGAGGTGCAAAAATTATTACCATGCAATCATCTAGTCACATTAGCTTGCGGCGTTGACATTACTCAGTATAACTGTCCTTCTTTGGAGACAGTTATACTTCCATGTGGTCATACGAGTAAAGTTCCTTGTTTCAAAAAAGATAAAATAAGTGAAATTATCTGTCAAAAGAAGCGTCCTTTAATTTCACCTTGTGGCCACACGGTGGATGTAGCGTGTAATTTAGATTTAGATGGAAGTGATCTTCTATCTAATTGCAATCGACTGTGTGGCATAATGCTCAATTGTGAGCATCTTTGTGAAGGTTATTGCTGGTTTTGTTTAGATATTGGAATTCATGCACTTTGCACTGCAAAATGTGATCAGAAACTACCATGTGGTCACCTTTGTAAAGGCTACTGTAACAGTCCTTGCCCACCCTGTAAAGAACAGTGTGGATTGGTGTGCCCTCATGCTAATTCAAATAATAGCAGATGCATCAATAGCTGCTACAGACCATGCATTGAATGTAAATTGCCATGTCAATTACGCTGTGACCATGTTAAATGCCCGAAACTTTGCTATCAAAAATGTACTGTAGAACCCTGTACTATAAATTGCTCTCAAATCTTACCATGTGGGCATGAATGCATTGGGTTGTGTGGTGACCCCTGTCCATATTTATGTCGTGTGTGTAATGAAAGTGACATTGAAAATGGTAATCCAAAAGTTGACCGCTACATCATGTTGCTGGATTGTGACCATGTTATTGAAATGAAAGAGTTAACCAAACATATAGAGCAATGTTTAGAGTGTTTTGAATGGCCTAATTGTCCATTATGTTCAAAGTCGATATATCAAAGCCTGCGCTTTAAGAATCATTTGATGAATGCTAAGAATTGTCTCCTGCAAAGCTGTGATACTAGAACAATGGTTAGTGAAATTAGGTTCCTTCTACACACAACTTACGATGCCGATTATATTATACCAGCTGTCTTCAGTGACATTAACAGAGGAATCGAGCGCATTCTTGAAAATGAGCAAACTCCTGATGTATTGGTTGTTTTAAAAATGGCTGTTGTTAATTTAAGAAGTTTAGTTAAAATTCATGAAATGATTGAAAACTGGGGTAAGGCTAACTTTAACTGCCATGTATTAAATCGTTTTAAAACCTTATTGTTATGGCTCTCAAATCATTTGAGGTATGCCAGTTACCAGCAAATTATGGAATCAGAAAAAGCAATTGAAGTGCTGGAGAATCTTGTTAAAAAACAAGTAGAGCTGTTCTAAGAATGTTTGAGGTGTCTTAAATCTTTAATAATATAATCAAGTTATTTATGAATAATCTAGATTTTTTTTTGGTTTGGTGAAAATCATTGTAATACTGGAAAGGTGTGACTTAGTACAACTTAATTTATTTATGTTATGTTTTAATATTTCAAAATATTGTTATGTTTTTCAAGTTGATTAAAATTAGGAAGTTAACCTGAATAATAAAATAAGTTCAAAGGAAGAGCTTCAGAATTTTTTTAAAAATTATTCAAATGTTTAAGTGAACTGTTAGGAGTTTTTAATTTATGAGAAATGTATTAATTTTTGAAAATAGATGGCATCACTAATAATTTTAGTGCCATATGAAAAATCATTTAACTTCCCTATATTTTCAAATTTGAAATAAAATGGTATAAAATTTGAAATAACAGACAATTTAAATCATACTTTGCATTTGAACTGTATTTAAATTTATTATCAGTACATTTATGTCAGATGCCAGGGTTTAATCCAGGTTGAAATCGAGTTCATTTTAAAAGATCATACTCTAGGAGGAGAAACGAGGGATACTTGCTCTAGGGCCTAGTCTTAAATCCATACAAAAGTTTTTTTTCTTACTTACTTAATGAAAACTGAAGCTTGCATAACCAAAACTTACATGATAAAAATGTAGCTGACATGAAAACTGAACCTTACATACCTTTGAAAACTGCGCTTATGAATAAAGGCTTCTTAAAATTTCTACACAATAAGAAAATAAGATTTCTGTTTTGTAAAATGCCCGCATTAAACTTAGCCCCATGCCCTGTGTTCGCTTTTACCTTACTATTTGAAGAACCCTTCACCAAATTCAAATTCTTAAAAAGAGTCCTTTAATAAAATTCAAATTGTAAATACTACGATTCTAGATTAAATTGTAAAATCTTCTTTTCAATGCTTTCCCACCTGTAGTATTTTATCAATTTATTGTTTATACATACTTGTTTTCAAATAATATTGATGTTCAAAAATATATATAGTGACTGCTAAAATTGAATTTCTTTTATAAAGTAAGTTCAGCAAAAATATTTTTATTTTATTATTATTATTATTTCCCAGAAAAACCGGCCGTAAAGAGATAAAACCTGGATTTTCCCCTGAATGCAAATATTTCGAGTAATTGTGTGTTTTATATGTTTTTTCACCATTTTATTTAGATAATTATGTAATTTAAATCAATAATTATGTAATTGAAATCAATTATTAATAACTTGATTGTCTAAATTCACAGTGTAGTATACAAAGTACAAAGTTTTAATGACCAGTTTTAAAATATATTTTTAGAGTAAAACGGACTATTTTCATTAAAGTTTGGAAGTTTATAGAAGTAAAAAAGAATGTAATGAATTTGCTCAAGAAGCTTGTGGTAAATTTTTCTTCAACCAAAAATTTTATTTGTTATTCTGATTTCGGCATTCTTCTAATCACTTTTTTTTTCCTTGTAATATGTTCTCTTTTATAGATATGTTTAGTTAATTAAAATTTTCAAAAACTGGTTTATGTGACGAAGAACTTGAAAGGTGGTTTCAGAGATCCCACTTAGTTAATAAATGAACTTGTAATCCTTCATTTTCACTAACCAACTTCAATATTCAATGCTCAATGTCTGATGACATTTTATTTTTTCTTGCTTAAATATAAAATGGTGATCCTAAATCTAAGTACTTTATAATTTAAATTTTTACAATGATTCTAAAATTGATCTTATATGTGGTCTTAATGGTAACCCTGTGTGCCTAAATTATGTTTCCTGAAATGTTCTAATCAATATCTCAATTTTAATATTTAATACTCATTCAATTTATGAAGAAAAGAGTTTAAATCTGATTATTTTCAATTTTTATAGAAAACATTTTTTACTCGATGTATACACAATATTGTATTAAATCTATTAAATTATTTTTGAAATATAATTACATCTTTTTAAAGTTTTGACAACAGATGTAATATTTTTCAATGGACTACTATTTGTTATTTTTAATAAATATTTATTTAATCATATATTGTAGCCTTAATTTAGCATCAAAGTTTATTTTATACCATTCGTAATTTTCTTCTGAAAATAAAATAAAAAATTGTGTGACCTACTCCCTTTGCTCACTAACCCCTGATCACATAATCATTTTTTGTTTCTTGACGATAAACAAATTGTTTTTTCAAAATTAAAAATTATTCCATTAAAAAGTCTCAATATTGACACAGTTTTACTTTACTATTCTACTAGGTTAAAACTCAATCCTAATAATTTTGTTTGGTTACTGTAGCATATTTTTTTTTTTTGCGCTTTCATTTTTAAAGAATTTATTCATATTTAAATAAAAATTATTATGTTGTTTAGAATTATTTTTAGGTTAACAAATTTCCTAATGTAATTTTTTTTTAAACCTACGCAATTCATTACAGAAATAAGGCAAAAAAATGATTTTGTAACACAATATTTTTGCACAATTCTCCTTTAAAAATGTGCAATAAACAAATTCAAAAAACCAATTCTAATTGATTTGCCTAGAATGTGGTTGAAATTATGGGTGGTCTATTTAAATTTGAGACATCTTTAGGACGCAGTCTAGTCAATTCGTCTCGAGATCGATTTGCGTCATAGCAATAATTTCTTGCAGTTTCGATTCAATACATCTATTTATTAAATTAAAACTCTAGCAATATCTACGAAAGCTAAATAAGTATTTAACTTTTGGGTTTTTAAATATTCCAAAAGCACCTAAAGGTGTGTTTAGTTATATGCTTAAGGGATGGATGGGGTAATTGCAATGCTTGCATTTATCGTCGTTTCATTTAAAAATATTCTAGATTTTTTAATCTGAATAGTTCTCTGAAACAAATTCTAAGTAATAATTTTTTTTTTCTTATTTTCCTTCATTTTGAGTTTAAAAGGAATGAGAAGACGTTAAATCTAGCTATCACACATAAAAATAAAAGACTTGCAACAGACACTATGGGTATGAGACATCGCGGAAACAAGGGCTTTTTAGGGTGTTAGTTAAAGTTTGAAAAAAAATAATAAAAAGAATTTTCAAAATATTTTTTGATCTAAAGGTTGGCTGGTAAAGTGTTGGGCCCATGCTCGAGAGGTGAGTTCGATCCCCTCCGTCTGTTCAAAATTGTGACTGATGCACGCTAAATCTGTCGGGGTCACACGGTTTTCCGATTTCCCATAACAAATCAATACCTCTTGGAGTACTGGATCGGAGATTTGTTTTGCTCTGGTTCAGGTCTGCAACACGATCTGTGGATGGATGGATGGTTCCTCACTGTAAAACGAGATGTGACGTATGTATGTTGTCTCTGGATCATCCTTGGGAATGTTACCCAGACCGCCGTCAATAGCCCATTGTGCAGCTCTATTGCGTCGCAAATAAATGTGTCTGAACCTGATCAAAAGATCAGAATTTTTGTGCATTACAGTGATTCAAGACACAGACTTTAAATTAAGCTAATGAAACGATGCAGGCGATAGATAAATTATACAATCATATGAACACATAAAACGAAAGCTCAATATAATGGATTAATTATTACCTGAAATCCGCTGTGTTACAATAGTTTTCCAAGTTGTCGAAATTCTAATTTAACATAATGAATGAAGAGATAGTGTGATTACCTTTTAAACAGATAAGGGGTACTGCTCTACCAACCCCTCTCTACGCTTGGTTTTACTTTTATTGGTCGGCTGTCAAGAACGATTTGCATGAATCAGTTGTTCCTTAGCAATGTATTGAAATCAACATTCAATGACGTTAAAATGTATTGCATTTTCTTTTTACAAAACTTGGTTCGTTTTGAAAACTTGTTCTTGCATTTCTGTTATAGAAATATCACTCTTATGAAGTACAAATCTACGTAATTCAGTTTAAAATGTGTGGACGAGCTGTTAACTCCTACGTATGTATTTTAAATCAAAATCGTTGTTCATAGTAAAAGAGAGAAATGTATGTTAAAGTGTCTCATGGTTTTTAAAATTCCGATATTGTCTCGACAAGAAGTTTGATTCACTCATTTGAGGAATCACTTTTTGATGAGCTCTATTTGCGTTGTTAATTCATCCTTTTATTGCTACTAATTTTCTCAATGATTTTTATAAGCTATTACGACACCCAACATTCAATTCGTGCGATTATTAGTAACTTTTTGACGCGAAATAACGCAATTTTTTTGATCAACTTTTTCACTTATCACTACTGATATCCACGTGGTTTTTTAAATACCGATATTTTCATACGTCATTATTGAGAAACGAGAAATTTGAATAGTATGTTTCAGTAAATACTTTTTTACGCACTGAATTCATGCATCAAACGCTATCCTTTTTTTATATGTATATTTATATAAAGATTGATTTTCACATGATTCTTTTTTTAAATCCTGTTATTATTATGATACGGGAAATTCAAATTGCGCACCTAAGTATTCACTATTTTACACGATAGTTATATATTTTAATCCCACAATGATTGCACTTACGACAAATGGTGATTGACGTATTGACGCAGTACCGTTAAAAATAATTAAATTAACTATTAACATATTTAAATTGATATCTAATTTAGAAAAATAGTAAATTTTATTTTTAATTATGTTCGAATATATAAAGAGAAAATAGAACTTTTTACACAGCCAAATTAAATTAGCACAATAAAACAAAATTTGCATTTTTTTATTTTTTGACAATTTAATAAATGATTCACAGAAATCCATTATGTCGTGTTGCTTTACAATCACCAATAAATGTAATTACAAAATATGAAAGACATTAATTCAAAGAAAAATAATTAATGCCTGGATTTTCATTGTGCTTTTTCTGATTCCTCTAGTACCCTTTTCATTTTTGAAAGAGCTGACAATCTAGCATCTCGCCATTGGCGTCGTTCTGGCATATTCTCAAGAGGACTTATCTTGCAAATGTCTTCATCCAATCTCTGCAATTCTTCACCCATATCGGTTGCAATAATCACGCATGCCTAATGAGATTAAAAAACATACACACATATATGTATGTAGAAAGATTATATATATATATATACTAGTAGGCTGCGCCCCCTGCTCGCCAACTCCCGAAAATTTCTACGCAATCTTATATGGTTTGCTTCGCAAACCAAGCCCGCTTCTCTCGCTACTAACTTAGGTACATTGCAAATGCGCAACATTCTAAGAATTCTAAACAATCATTCAAATCCATATAAAAAC